GGAAAAGGTTTTTCTTAGTTCCCATGCTACATATGACAAAATTATCAAAAGGTTTCTTTGCATTCTTTCAAATGAAGTTGCAAAGTTTGGTTTTAAATAACTTCTTAAAGGACTGTAGTGCATGTTTTCAGGCGTGTTTTGTGAATTGTTTTAGGAAATATAAAAAAAAACCCGACTGGATGCTGTCCTCAGTAACATGACCTAGTGGGCCTTGCTTTGAGCACGGGGTAGGGCTAGATAATCTCCACAGGTGCCTTCCAGCCTCAGCACTTCTGTGATTCTGTTTGAAAAGGTCAGTCAAAATTGAGTTGAAGTTAATTAAACTAACCTTTGGCTGTTTCCCAAGCATTCAAGATTTTGACTTTTCAACCATGATAACTTGATGGCACTTTCATCTCCAACCTGTTGTAGTGGAAGCCACAGAAACACCTGTAATAGGAGAGGAAAACATATAGTATTTGAGAAGGGAGGAAATATGGGAATTTGAAAACAAAACAAGTGTAATGCATAATTAAATTTGGCTTGAATGCAAAGTTCATATTTCTCCCACAGAGAACAAAACCCAGGTTTCCTGCAAGCAAGCTTTCTCATCTTTCATATTCAATTAAATCTTCTGTAGTTTGGTGTCTGCTCCCATCTCTCTACACCATGTCTTGCAATAGCTTGGTATTTTGGAAAAAGCTTTTGTTCTTTGTCTCTGAAAATGCTGTCTCAGTAGTGCAGACTGCACATTTTAATAAAACCGTATTTGCTTATTTCAACTTAGGGTGTCCACATCTATAACAGAAGAGAAGCAAATCTCACTGTCACAGGCAGCAGACTGAAAGAAATAGGAATTGCTGGCAGTAGACAAGGTTACCAAGGAGTGGTGTGCTGAGCAAGACAGGAGTTGGGACCTATGGAGCTGTGGCTTTTGCAGCTCAGTTTGTAACTTCTGGAAATGGTTGGTTTAATCCCTGGTTTATCTAACAAGATGGTGGCTGTTGAATTAGCAAAAAGGACTGTGTTGCTTCAGGGCATAGCTGTGGAGGTGGGTCTTTTGTAGAGCTATAAAGGAGCTCCATGGACACACTCTACAGAGTGCTCCTTATATCCATGCTGGTAGCAGGTACCTCTTGGTTTTGGGCTGTCAGAATAAGGACAGATCCTTAGCCTATCATCTTCCCTGCCTGAGTGAGTCTTCCCAGTAAGCCTTGTGAACTGTAGCTCTTGCTGGAGTTCATGTCTGAACCTTCAAAGTGAGCAATGCACCCAAACTGTGTTACTGGAGCCTTGTTGCCTATATAAGAGCAAGTGTAGATCTGTGAAGGAAAGGATTTGGGCCCTGACTCCATTGGCTTCTCGGACCCTGAACCCACAGAGAGGCCAGAGTGCTGGCTCTGGGAGGTGGGCAGTGTTGTAATACACTATTTGCCCTCTTAGACACTGAGGTTTTGATCCAGGCAATGTCCCAGCATTTAAAAAAATACACTGATCCTGGTAAAGATTTTCTAGAAACGATTAAAATCATTAACTATCCCTAAGCCCACCTGTTATCTACTTCAGGAGGTTAATGGTTAGAATTTACATTTGTTCTTTTGAATTCACATACAAAAATAGTGCCTTTTTATCATGGTCACTGAGGTTGAGAGCCTTTCTGCTCATTGGGATCTGGGGAGGGCTCAGCTTGAGAGTGGGTACTGCCAGGATGAATCAGCAGACATCTTCCTGGAAGCAGTCAGCAGTCTGGATATCCCAAGTGTTTAGCAGAGATCCCCACCAGGCTATAAAGAGAAGGAGAAGGGAATGGAAAGGCAGAATATGCCCCATGTGGCCTGGCACTTTGACATTGCTGTACATATTTTTCATGTCAGGTCTCAATTGCTTCATGTACATGAAGCAAGATGTTCTCTGTATTTCATCTTCATAATTGATGTGTGGTTACAGCAGCAATGTCAAAGCAAAGACCCTTGCATTAGCATGTTTATTGCCCTTGTTGTGACAATCAGTTTTATGCAGTTCATTCTAGGGGAGAACAAGTGGATTTGATTTTAAGTTCTGTGCAGAGACTCAAATGTTTTAGTAGTAGTAGTAGGATGATCTCCTAAGAGAAAGCACAGCTGACAGGTGCTCTTCCTGTTCAACTCCCACCTGGGAAAGCCAGCTACAAACTCTGCAAGTTAATATTTTTCTTGCTACTGGCTCCCAGATAGCTGTTTGCTGAGGATCTCCTTCATCACCGTGGTTTTAGAAATAAAGCTGTTTTTCAGCCCCAAGCCCCCTCTCCCAGCCTTTCCTACTTCATGAGGAGTCTGGATGATGAAACTTGTCATGCAGAAAGCGGGCACTTAGACTAAAACAAAACAATCACAGAATCAAACACACTAATTTGGGCAGAGGAAAGAGCTTAACAAGTCAGATACTGTGTAGATGAATGAGGGGTTCTGCACATTGGGGAGGGGGAGCATCATATCCAGAGAGAAGAGCAG